ATTAGAAAAATATAAAAGTTAATGGAGTTTCGTTTAATAATTATAGTTGAATTTTGCTCACGCTAAGATTAAAGGTCAAGGGAATGCAAAATCGGAAATGAAATATCTCTTTAAAACTCATAAGGTAGAACGTTCTGGAGCCATTCTTCGCAGACGTCGACTTGCTGAAATTGTATTAAACGCGCTGAGTCCTAAATGAAATAATCCATGGTTTGGGGTAAATGAGACTTTGTAGTAGAAGGTCGGTAAAAAATGGGAAGAAAAATTAAAAGAAGAATCAGAAATATAAGAATGGGGGAATATGCAGAAAATGAGAGAAAAAGAATAAGAGAGAGAGAGAATTTTTCGAGACGCAAAATAAGAGAAAAATAAATACAAGAACAAATAAACGTAAACCCAAAACTTATGGTTCAAATTAGTTTCCATATGAAAAGTAGAAAAATAATAAAAAAAAAATAAATAAAACGTTCAGAATTTTTCATTTTTATTTATTACAATTGTTTCTCCAAGTGAATAAAAAAAAAAAAACTTGAAAAAATCATAGAAAAATAAAATGAAAACTTGAAATTGTAACTTTTGGAGAATTCGCGAATTGAGAGGAAGTTGGCTAGTTCCGATACGGGAAATCTTTGAGCCTCTCTCTCTCTCTTTCTCTTTTTCTCAGTTTGGCTTCAAAAGTCTTGAACTTTTCCGTCGCGGAATCTTCAAAAAAGAAAAAAAAGAACTCTTCTCTCTTCGATCCTTCATTAAACTTCATAGTTGTATGGATTCGATTTCTTTTTTTTTCCACAATTCGCTTGTTACTAAACTTGTTACTCGGTATGAAAGACTTGATATGACTTTGAGGAATCCAATAAAATAACAAAAAGAAACCCTTTCCTTATAAATGTACTCGATTTACAATTTAATTGATAAAAATTACAATTTTTCGTTTCGCAGTAAATAGTATTGGAATAATTTAAAATCTCAAACGAAATATTTGAAAATAAAAACATTTACAGTGGAATGATTATGTATTGGAAATTGGAGATAATCTGCAAAAGGGATGAAATTAGTAATTACAGGCCACAAATTGAACTTCCATTTGATTCGCTTGTTAAAGCGATTAATTTATGTGGAAAATCATTCACACTCACATATATTACACAGTTATAATTTATATTATAAAATATAAGAGACAATTTATAAGCGACGTTAATAACATACTCTTGTTCATTTATTCATACACAGTCGAAACGAATTTCCCTAAACGCATGATTATACATATATATAGTTATACCCGAGAATAAGGGAAAGTTCAAAAGCGAAAGCTCTCGGGAAATCGAGGCTGTTTCCTGTGCATCGTATAAAATTTCGCTGAGCTTGCGGCTTTTATGCCTTTTTTTCAACTATTTTTTTGCGGTCGTGACTCTAGTTTTGCGGAGCGTGAACTGATTTAAGAATAGATCCCTTTCAGTTGTGCGTTTGGCTAATTTCGTATATAGTGAAGGGGGAAAAAAAAATTGCACACGATGCTCGTTTAATGATTTACTGTTTCAATTTTAAACTATTATCACTGCCTTTTTATCTATATTTCAATTTTTTCTGTCTGACCAAAATCTCCTTCCACTACTAAAATTGCATAAAACAGCTAAGTCTGACCGAAATCGACTTTTACTACTAAAAGAAAAAATATAATTTTATATTTAATTTTTTTGAAACTAATTTTTATAATAATAATAAAATATAAAAAAATTATTATAGAAATAATAATAATAATAGTAGTAGTAATAGTAATAGAGGGAGAGTGGAACAATATTCCCCTTTTTTTTAGCTTTAAAAAGCGTATTAAAAAGTCTTATAGGCGACGATTTTCTCTGTGCGCGAATTTTCGCAATGGCAACAGATTTATATTCGGTAAAGCGCGACTTTTACGCGTGCTTGCACAGTCTGCTGGGAAGCTTAAGGTTATCGTGGAAAAGCTCAGGTGCTGCCGCAAAAGCCGCATGTAACGCGAAACGTTAATCAGGCTAATGGCGCAGCGTTATCTCTCTCCCTCTTGTTACTCAAAGGCCAATGTTCGCGTTGATATATATATATAGAAATGGTCAAAGAAAACTCTCTCTCTCTCTCACTTTTCCGGGAAAATATATATACACTTTCACGTACAAGGACACGAATGAGCATTGCACAACTTAAGTTAATTATTATTTACAAAGAGGGTGAAAAAAAAATTATTAAATTCCCTACAACAATTTTTTATTTGAAGAAATTAATTACGCAATTTTCTCAATTTTTTTTCTTTGGGAAAATTCAAATTTAATGAAACGATTAATTTATTTAAAATTTTTATTATATTATAATTATAATTATAATTATTATTATTATTATTATTATTATTATTATTATAGTATTTTTATAGTAATTAATAATTTTTAATTATTTTTTTCCATAGTAATTAATAAAAGTCTGCGTTAGCCGCGCGCATTAAGTCGTTTCAAAATATAATTCTAAGTCGTGCGTTCGAATCCTCGCAGAAATGAAATTTTATTTCTTAGTAATGAATAGTAATTTTTTTGTTTTTATTATTTCTTTTACATTTTACTTAAAAATTTTACAAAAAAAAAAAAAATTGAAATTACGGAAATGAACAGAAAAAAAATCATAATCAGCGTTAAAATTATGATTTAATTTCGATGAACGAATTTTTTTTCGGTTAAATACAAGTTTATTAAATTGCACGTTTTAGAATAGAGAAAATGGCGTTGAACAAGCAAAATTTCACTTACAAATTGAACGCACTTTGCAAGTATAATTCAGTCGTGTCCTGTGCCTATTTCCCAAGAGGACGGAATATAATGACTCGTGTCCTAAAAGAACAAAAAAAAAAGAGCGCTTTACGAGACAATTTTATTTATTTTTTTACTAAAAAATAAACTACCATTGCTTCCTTATGGAGGAAATATTTTCTAAAATTAAAAAAAAATTTCTTTTTTTATTGTAAATTGTATTTTTTTAATATATTGATTTTTTCTTCTATTAAAATTAGATTTTTTAAGAAATTGTTGAAAAAAAAAATTTCCCACGGAAGTAAGGGGGAAAAAAAAAGTGTTTTTATTCTTTGTAAATGAATAAAACAGGCATCTCTTTTACATCTACAATCTTGATGACGACGACACAATGGTCCATTATTTAGTGAAAATCTTTTTGTGGCATTCAACTTATGAGTATTTATCCCTTTTCAATCGGAAGGAAACGAATCAAAGAAGAATGAATGCAAATTAGGAAACGATCGTAAGGAAGGAAGTGTATAAAAAAAGATTCCTTAGTATTATGATTATGAAGAATCGAATTAAAATTTTTTTTCTCACAATTATTGGATTTATCATTTTTTTATCTTACTATTATTTGTTATTAATTTATTTATTATTTTAATTTAATATTTAATTTATTATTTCAATAATAAATTATAATAATTATATATAATAAATAATAAATTATCATTTTTAATTAAAAACCTTTTAAGAATTAAAAATTTCTAGCCTCGGACTTAATTTCCAAGATATTAGAGACGATATAAATACGCGTGTGCATGTCGTTTTATATAAGTGCCATTTTAGTCACACAGTTAAACTTGATGGTCGCACACGTAAGAGGAGCAAAGGGTGCCTCAGTGTGATAATTCTAGGACCCTCGTCCCTCATATGGACCCTTTGAGACCCTTCGAAACTCGCGAGTTTAATACTGTCGACCCTTTTCCGGATATAACAATGCGCATCACTTGACACGTGACAGACGACCGTTAATTAGAATCAATGATGAGTGATCACACTCTGTCGACAAGTTCACAAAGTGACTCGATTGCTGAAAAAAAAATCAAATCAATTGCCAGTCACAATTATTAATTTTAATTTTTTTATTTTATATAACACCGTCCGACAAAATTCAACTTTTTTTTTTGACCCACAAAAAATTCCAACATTTTTGGAAACTAGGACCCAAAAAAAAAAAACCCGTATCTGATCGTTTTCCTAGATCAAGTAATTTGTGGTTTTTAGGGGTGAAAACAGCCCCTAAATAAAAAGTGACAAGATATCTTTTTAAAAATTATTAATATTTTATAAAATATGGTATCTGGGGATTTTCTGGGTCGCTGATTATTAATCTGATGTCAGATTTTCAAAATTCAAAATGGCGGTGAAAATTTTAAAAAGTTATTAAATTTTTTTTTAAACCTTGATATCTAGGGGTTTTTTGGGTCGCTGATGATGAATCTGATGTTAAATTGTCAAAATTCAAAATGGCGGATATAAAATTAATAACTTTTTAAAAATTTGATCGCCATATTGGATCCGCCATTTTGAATTTTGAAAATCTGACATCAGATTAATAATCAGTGACCCCGAAAACCCCCAGATACCAAGTTTTATAAAATATTAATAATTTAAAAAAAAAATCTTGTCATTTTTCATTTAGGGGTTGTTTTCACCCCTAAAAACCACAAACCACTTGTGATCTAGCAAATCGGCCAGATACGGGTATTTTTTTTTGGGTCCTAGTTTCCGAAAATGTTAAATTTTTTTGTGGGTCAAAAATTCTGTCGGACGGTGTAATAAATAGAATTTCAATTGAAATATTTTTTTATTTTCATGTAAACAGGTGAAATAAACGATTTTGTTGAGATAAAAAAATTAATTATTTTATAAACAATTTATTTTTATATAATATTAATAAATTATAGAATTAAAATTCGTAATCAGTAGAAAAAGTTAGTTTTAGCCAGACAGTAATTAAATTTTTATAATTTTATTATTACTAGAAAATGTATTAAAAAAAATTGTGTTCTCAGTCATTATTTTATAAAAAAAAAATAATTTTTTCTTCGTAATTTAAAAAATTTAGATATTTTTTTGTGGTTCGAATTAAAAAAGATCCTTTTTATAAATGCATAATTGCTCAATAAGTGTGAGCTTTGAATTTGAGCCGAATCCTAACCCTCAGTTTCTGGTGTCTTGTTACAGGTGCACTCATCCTCAAAGATGCTAGAGCTTCGAACTAATTACCCGGAAGAGGCCTACTCGAAACTTTAGACACCCCACGTCGCCAACACTCGGGTAAGTTAACAGTTGTGTATATAACTATGGTTAATGCCACATGATAAGCGCAAATTACTGTCTTTTAACACAATTAATCGAATTATCAATGCCAGTCAAGTGACTCAATTATTATATTATCCCAAAACTTGGAACAATTCACCAGAGAATGGCTCTTTTAAGAAATACAAAAAAAAAAATTAATTTTATATTTTTTTGGGGAAAATTTTAAAAACTATTTTCTTTTTTTTTTAAATTATTTGACGTTTAATAATAGTCGACGATTGTCTTTATCTCTTTTCCGTGAGATAAACATCTTTGGAATAATAAAAGTTCCGGAAGTGCGTGCAAAAGGAAGAACGAAAGAAAATAACAAGCGATGGATAGAATATATAGGAGAAAAAGAAATAGAAAGAGAGAGAGAGAGAGAGAGAGAGAGAGAGAGAGAGAGAGAGAGAGAGAGAGAGAGAGAGAGAGGTGAAGACCCTAAAGGAAAAGATAATCTATCCTTTATCCTTTCGGCTCAAGGAAGTAAAGGGAGTTCTGTGATCGTAAATTTGGCACATTTCACGCGGGTTAAGTTCTTGGGTCACGGAAATTTTTCAGACCAAAGAGAATGAGACTAAAGCCATAGTATGGAAAAATTGTGATGGGGCCAATATTTTTTAGAATTCATGACAGGATTTTTTTTTCGCAAACTGCAGCAGGAATAATAATAGCAAAAGTTGGAGAAAATTTTTTTTTATAGAAACAGAGAGGAGAATAAGGTCAAAATATATATATATATGGTAAATTTAGTGGAAACTATATTAAATTTTTTTTTATTTCTTTCAAGAGATTTTTTTTCTTTTTTATGTTTAGGATGAAAAAAAAATGTTTGGGACTTTGTAGGGAATAAAAATTGAAAAAAATGGTTTCTATAGAAATTTTTTTTTTTTTTCAGGGCAAAATGTCGATGACTGGCAGTTTGATGGGTTATGAAAATAACAACGAGGTAAATCAAGCCAAGTGTAAAAAGACACTGAAACCACTTCCTGTGGTGACTAGTGTCAACGCAAGTGGGGTCACAACTGCAACAAGGTCTAGAAAATCCAGACAATCACAAAAGAGAGAATCTTGCACCAAGTTCCATGTAAACAGCCTCTGGTCTGTTTGGTATGGAATTATAGCTGTTACACTTCAAGCTTACATTGCCACGAGATGTGTCAAACGATTCACAGGTAACTTTCTTTTTTATATTTTATTTATTACATTTATTTATTCAAATCGGAATTTTATATAATTTTTATGTTTATTGAATTTTTTTTTTATTTTATTCTATTTTTTTTATATCTAGAACTAAATATTAAGAAAATTTTTAATTATTAACTCAACTTTATTAAATATTATTATAAAGGATTTATTAATTTTTATATGTAATATTTTTTCGCTGCCTTCTTTTTTTTCTGTATTTTTAATAACTTTCTGTAATTTCTTATCAAAAATAACTTGAGGCAAATAAAGGAATGAAAACAGATTTCAATTTCATAAAACTATAACAATTACAAAGAAGCGAGTTAATTACATCTTTCTCGGGTTTTGTATTTTCTAAAAACAACATTTACCAATGAAATACTTATATACTTTTCGAAATTATTCATCTCCCTTAGCAACTATACTTCTTCGGTTCTTAAATATTTGCTGGCAAGATTGAAGTTGAGCAATTAAAGAAAGTAGTTGTACAAAGAAAAACGAAAAGGAGCAAAAAAAAAAAAAAAAGGTGAAAAGGAAAGAAAAATGTAAAAAGGGACAAAAATATAGAAAAGGAAAAAAATGTAGAAAAGCAAAAAAAAATATAGAAAGGTAAAAAAAAATTTAAAAAAAAGAAAAAAAATGTAATGCGAATTCAAAGTAGTCTTACAAGTGTATAGCAAGCACGTAGACTTAATTAAGATGTACTCAATTAAGGGATCGTTAGTCTCAGCCTGGAGGGGAAATTTTTTTTTCTTTTGTTCCTTTTTTTTTGACAATCTCTTCGTCCCCTATATATGTAATATACGTTAACAACGAGAGTTTCGACACTTTGGAAGTTAATATCCCCCCCTATATATATATATATATAGATAGTGGACTCACGATTATCGAGGGTATGTGTGCTACAATGAGCACGTACCCTCTATCCCGAAAATTCGTCTAGAATTAAGCAAAATTTCATCCTCCAAAACACTTCTCGAATTTCAATCAAACGGAAAGAATTTTTTTTTTTTCCCCTCATCAAATATCTTATAGAAATAATAAAAGTCCAATGAAAAGTTTTCGCTGAGAACATTCTTTCATTTGTCAACAAAATTCTAGAGATTAATTCCTTTCTTTGAAAAAAATTTTTTTTTTATAAGATTAACTTTTTAATTTTAATTACTAAAAATTATGAAAAATTTTTTTTATAAAATTGACTTTTTAATTTTAATTACTAAAAATTATAGAAATTTTTTTTTTTATAAAATTGACTTTCTAATTTTAATTACTAAAAATTATGAAAATTTTATAATTAATAAAAATCAAAAATTTGTTAAAAATTATTTTTTATTTTAAAGAAAAATTCATATTATGTTTCTCTATATATTTTTTTTCAAGCTTATTTATCACTACCATGGCCTGTGGAAGCACCTCCGCCAAAAATGGAAATTCACGCTTGTCTGGTTTTGGTTGGAACGGGAATGTTTTTACTTCTTGTATTGCTGGCAACGGCAGTCTTCAAAGTGGGCAATCTCGCCAACGATGGTATAAAACTTGGTCGACATTTGAGTGCCTGCTCACGTGATCCACCCTCGTCGGTTCTCACCAATAATCCTGATACAGGTATAATGTTAATTTTTTTCTGAAAAAAAAATATAATTTAAATAAAAACAATTTTTCCTCGTTTTATATTTCAGTATATATATATATATATATATATATATATATATATATATATATATATATATATTTCAGTCAGTAGTAAAAAAAATAGTTAAGAAGAAAGAGAGTCTTTTTATTTTTTTCAGGGGAAATTATTTACAGTTTTTTTTTCTTGAAAAATAGAAATAAATATTTTTTTTATAGCAAGATTATTCTTATTTTTCAGGACTGGCAAATAATTTATGGAGACATGGTGGTCCAACTGCGGCGTTTGTTCATCTTTGCACGGCCATGTGTTTTCTTCTACCCTCGTTGCTTATGGAGGCGAGGCTAATCCACGCTGGATTTCTGCCAAAAGGTAATTTTCATCCTCTCTTCTTAATATATATGTGTACCTTGAAATGAGCTTGAACTTCATAAGCGTGTCCTTGAAATTATTATATTCGCTTCTAAAATCCCGTTATTACCTCTTATGTTTAATATCACTCACTAAAATAACATAAAACTCATTTTTTTCCATATTTATGAATATTTAAACCCCATAAGAAATATTACTCATATTTTTAACAATATTAGACATTTTTTAGTACTTAAAATTTTTTTGTTTCAAAATTAATTTTTCCGGATTAAAAATATTAAAAATATTAAAAATACTAATTAGGTATTAAAAATATGAAATATATTAAATATTAAAAATATTGAATATTTAAAATATTTTCAATATTAAAAATATTGAAAAAAATTGAATATGTACTTAAAATATTTATAATATTAAAAATATCGAATATTGAAAATATTTGAAATATTTAAAAAAAAAATTCAAAGATTACTTTTCAATATATATGAATGTATTAAAAAAAAAAGGTGAAAATAACTTTTTACGCGTACTTTTACAAGTGCAATAATTGCATTTTGAAACTTATCGAAACATTTACAAAAAGATTAACTCTTGACTTTTTATTATTTTTCAAAAAAAAAAAAAAAAAAAAATTGTAAACGGTTTCTATAACTTATTGTTTTGTCGGTGTAAATATTAAAAGTTTTCTCCTCAACCCCCCTCCCCCCAAAAAAGCAACTGTTTTCGTCATACTTGCATTTATATGAGTTGTATGTGCTTCAAGCGGTACTTGCCCCATATTTTTCAAGTACATTCATGTTTAGGGCAGAGTGGGAGAGAGGGGGAAAGGGGGTGAAGAGCAATTTCGTGTCGTGCTCGAGGCACTTCAACATTCTGACTCATGCAGAGGTTCTCCAATTTGTTAAAACGCATTCCATGAGTCCTTAATTCCGGTTAGAATTTGTGGGAAAATTTTCGAGAAATTAGTACCTTCTCCTTTTTTTTCATTCAGGTATTTTTTTCTCTTTTTTTCATAAAGGTCTTTTTTCCCAACTTTGGAATTAATGTGCCCCAGTTTTTCCTAAATTAAAATACACAATTTTGCAAAATTTTTGCTGTTTTAATTTTCTAATTAGTTTGAAAGCACTTTAATTTTCTAAAATTAAATTGATAATTAAAATTACAATTAACGTTTAATTAAATTATATTAAAATTGAAACGTATTTATATAGTTGAAGTTAGAATTAAATTTCTAAAATTAAATTTTTATATTAATTAAATAAATTAAAAAAAATTTTAAAATCGTTAAAACAAATATTTTGGAAAAAAAAGAATAAAATATTTACAATGAAACAATATAAAAAATATATATATAACACGAATATGACAACCACTGAAAAATTGAAGCACTTTTTGGTCTCGTAATCTGGGATTCTTGGAAGATTAATGTAGGACCTAATATCGAGATCTGTCGTGAAATTCATGAAAAGAATCCATAGAAAAACAAATTAGGAATTAAATCCTCGGGAATGAAATTCTCATTGGAGCAAAAATATCGGAAGACATTCAATTTGTTCACTTCAATAACTGGAAAAGCTCTTCAGTGATTCTCTATTTTTTTTTTTTTTTTGCTTTCATATCATAATGGAATATTTTCTCTTCACCGTTTTTTTTTTGCCATTTCTTCATAAAAGTTTTAATTTCCTGGAGATTTGAAAAAGAATTTTTTCTTCGAAAACTATGCAATTTTGACAATAATTTTTCTTGTCAAATTTCCAAATTAAAACAATTTAACAAAATATCAAAATTTATTTTTTAATTAATTTAGTTTCATTTAATTTAATTCAAATTTCATTTAATTAATTTTAATTTTATTGTAATTTGAATTGGAATTTATTATTTACCAAATAAATTTAACAAATTCGAAAATGGAAATTAAATGATATAATTAACCTATTAAAAATAAATTTTATAAATTCGTAGATTTCTTTTCTGTTTTCTGTTTTTTTTTTTTGTATGTAATTTTACATTAGACACTCTCGTTGCTCGTCGTCGTGCGGATTTAATAGCAGCAATTAACGGGCTATGGGGCGTCACCGTATATTTCGAAATAGGGGACAGTAAATTTATCCCCGTTGGTAAAGGGGGGAGCCGTTATTTTCTGCAACGATGCTTCACCAGCATCCAGTTGCATTGTCAGCGCATAAACCGGTGTGCTATCGATTCAACTTGAATCGAGATTTGGTTTCCATTTTCTATTCGATTTTATTGCTAAAAGAAAATAAACGTACAAATATTATTTTTTGCAAATAAAAATTCCATGGATTTGAAAAAATTGTATAAAAAAAAAAAACCCCCAAAAAAAGGGGAAAAATCTCTGCTGATTGAATTAGACATTTGGCAAAACAAAATAAATAACAAAAGGAATTTTTTTGGGGAATTTTGTAATGAAAAATATTTTCTCTCTTAATTTTAGAAAATTTTACGATTTTTTGAATGAGGGTAAATTGAACTTTATATATAAGATAGATGTGGATCATAAAATTTACATATATATGCACAATTGCACATTGTAAGCTGGCATAAGCACCAACATAAACACGGAAGCTTGTAATAGATTTCATTATCTCACACCAACTTCATGTTCCAGTAGTTTAACTTTGGGATGTTCGAACAACACAATTAGACTCTCCATGTGTTACCGCGTGAAATACATTATATATAGTTATCAAATTGAACCCAAAAATAGTAAATAAACATTAAATTTTTAAAATACGTAAATTGTGAAAAATTCATATGACCAAAACTTTATTTTTACAACTGAAATAAAAAAAATTATAGAAATTTCAATTTGTCTGATTAAAATTTAATTTTGCTACTTATTTTTAAAATTACAAGATTTAAAAAGTACAGTCTGACTAAAAATTGCTTTTACTACTGATATTTTATTCTTTTTGTCTGATAAAAACTATTTTTCACTAGTAATAATAAAATATAATCAAAGTTACAATTTTAAATAATTTGTCTGACTAAAATGTACTTTTACTACTGACATTAATTTTACTAAATTTTCCTACTTCTGTCTCAATAACATTTGCTTGAGCTACTGATTATAATAGTTTACAGAATTAAAACTTTTCTGTCTGACCAAATTTTACTTAAACTACTTATTCGGTAATTGACAGTATTAAAAATATTATGTCTGATTAAAATTTGTTTAAACTACTTAATATTCAATGTTAAAATTATTGTCTGACTAAAATTTACTTACACTACTGATTCTGTAATTTACTGTATTAAAAATAATATGTCTGACTAAAATTTACTTACACCACTGATTCCCATAATTATCAGAATTAAAACTGTTCTGTCTGACCAAAATTTACTTAAACTACTGTTTCTATAATTTACAGTATTAAAAATATTCTGTCTGACTAAAATTTACTTATACTGCTGATTTCCACCATTGCCAGAATGAAAACTATTCTGTCTGACTAAAATTTAATTACACTACTGATTTTCATAATTGGCAGTATAAAAACTATTATGTCTGACTAAAATTTACCTTCACTACTGACGCTAAAATTGTGATATTTTATTTACTGTTGTCTGACCAAAACCTACCGTAACTACTGACACTTAAACTGCAAAATTTTAACAGTTATGTCTGACCAAAACTTACTTCCACTACTGATACTAAAATATTAATTTAAAAAATGTTGTCTCTAAAACTGCCTTTTACTACTGAATATATAATTTCTTCTAAAACAGAACTTTTGTTACCTTAATAAATAATATTAATACATTTTAATTAAATTAATTAATTTTATTTTTAATTTAATTAATTTATTTATTTTATTTTTAATTTAACTTGAAATTAATTAAAATTAAAATTTTCCATTCCAAATTACAATAAAAATCAAAAATTAGATCGAAAATCCTTATATTTATCTTAGATTTAAATTTTCATTCATGACAAATAAATTTCTATTAAGACGAACACATTTTACGAGATAGAGAAAACGAAAGTAGTTGCACAATTAATTTTTAATTAGAAACCCTCCACTCCTTTGGACATTTATTTTTTTCCAAGGTGCATTATTCTTCGGTGTCGTGTGTTTTTTTTTCTTATCCTTTTGTTCGCAGTCGATCGAACGAAAGGAAGCTAATTTGTTAGATAGTCGATTTGGAATGGTGGAAAAAAGAAGTAAGGCCTCGAATTCCTCATGAGCAACCAATAACTCTAATGGAGAGCAAGACAATTTTATTGCCCGAAATAAAAATCGGATTTATAGAAAATTAGAGATATATATTTTTTTATGTCCAAATTGATATATGTTTTTTTTTAGTAAAAAGAGAAAAAAAAATATATATATATAAATATTTTAAGAAAAAGTATGAGTAATCTTCGTAATTTGGGATATTGAACAAAAAAACTTTGTTTTCTGTTTTATAGATAGAGCTGTACTTTAAAATTTTGCAAACTTGGTGTTTTGTTGACTTTAAAGAGGCGTTTAGTTAGACTTTTCTTGTTTGCACTCAATTTTCACTCCTGAAACTTTCTTCCCTCATCAATATATGTATATATACCTCTCGTAAATTATATGAAAATATACGCGTCAGCCTCAGATGCTTTCTAATATTAAAAATTTTCAAATAAATTAAAATTAATTAAATAACAAATAAATTAATTCTCTTTTAATTTATTCTAATTTTTTATAATTATTAATTATAAGTGAATAAATAGATTATTCGTATTTAAATAAAGAGCATCTTTTTTTATTGTAGAAAAAATATTTTCTACATTTTTTTCTTTTATATCTTCCATTTTTTTTTTTTGGAGTTAAAAAAAGGAATTTTTTACAAGAAAATCTGATAGGGAGAAAAATAAACGAAATCAGACTATAGTTATATGGGACTCTTGACATTGGCAATAAAAAGTCAACAAGACTCATCCGTAATGTACACCCCTCGAACACGCACCAAAAACGGAAGTAGCTACCAACTCTTTTTTTTTTTTA